TTTTAAGATTTTTTCCCCCACCAGTAAGAAAAAGAAAGAAAGAAAAAAAAAAAGAAGTGCTATTTCTCAATGATCGGGTAAAATTTCGAGGCTTTATTTCCTGTTTCAATGATTTTATTGAAATTTTTGATGAATCTCCATACATTTCCTTGTAACAGCACACCACAGAAACCAAGCTTGGGCTACCTGTGGGTTGAGTAAATGGCATCATTTACTCACAATTTAGATGCTGAATAAAATTAATAAATTTTCCCTGCCACTTTTGACTGTGAAGGAAACATGTTGCTTGGCTTCTATCTGGGTCATATAGATAAGTTTAAACAAGTTTAAAGTCATTTCCAATTTTCTTTTGTTTTCATCCAAGTGCCCCTTTAAATGCCCGAACTTGGAGTGTTTTTTAATTTTGGAAAATCAGGAACCGTACATAGATGTAATGGACTGGACTTCGGTTGGCTGGATCATGCGGAACGTAAACGTTTTTTTACGTCGAATTTGCAGCTTTTATCCTATTATTTTAATTCTATTATAAATAGCTAGTGATTCTATTTCGAAATTTTGAAAAAAAATAAATGCAATTTTTTAAAAATATTTTGGATTGCAGCACTGGTTGAAGTCCTGTGAAGCTGTATTTAACAATATATTTATGTATATGCCTTCAAGATTATTTTCCTTTAGGCTCTACTAACCCACGCGATTGAAGCCAGAATATTGCCTACTGGGTAGCTGTACTAATACTAATAAATATCTGAATTACAATCCTAGAAAGTCTTCTTTTACTGCTCGATTATGTTACTTCTAAAGACCGGAATTACATCCTCAGCTGCTAAGCCAATCTATAAGCCATTTATCTATGAACATGTCATTCAAATCCATATATGTGTACTCTTGTGCAAGAATGCACATTTCACGAGGAGACTACAAAAAAAAAAAAAAAACAACCAAAGGCATTTTACGRCTAAGCTGCCACAGGCAATCCAGTAAATAGTGCTACTAACAGTAGAGTCCCATATTGATCTCAAACCTTGATCCAGTCCTGGAACCAGGGAAAAGGTTAGGTGCTTCAATATATCCACTACTGATGTAAGTCCATCGATTGTCAGCCTCAAGTTCATGATAATGGGGACATTTCATTTTAGAATTTCACAAAAGGTTTTGCACTATTTAGCTAATCATGTTCCTTCTACTACGTTCTCATTATACCCACTTTAAGACAAAGTGCAACTCATTGATGCTACACCTCCTCCTCCCAGATAACAGATACCACTTGCTACATGTACCTTTAGCAGTTCTGAGATTGAGGAAAAACTTGGATGGAATTGGCATTGCAGTGCAATAGTGCAATGTGGGATAGATTTAAAAATGCACTGTAAAACTATCTGAACCCAGTCTTTTACTCAACTTCGGAATGGGCAATATCTTTCTAAATTTTCTTTCCATTATAACTTTGTAATTATGTAATCATTAACTCGAGCTTAGCAATCATTGTACCTTTACATTCTGAAGAAGTTGTTCACTCCTTAGAATCTCTGTTTGTAGCATAATATGAGGGTCAGTCGACGCTGCTGTAAACAGAATATTAATTTTTTTAAACAAACGAGGAATGAGAACAAAAAAGCTCGCCAAGAAAACAAAAATAATTTGTCAACAAACTCAAAGACCTCACACTTGCCTGGAAAAAGAGAGCCTTTGAAGCTCGCAGGACCTCTCTGCTTTTCAGCTGCTATTTTCTAATTTAAAAAAAGACAAAATAAATAAGTATTCATTGAGCTAAAAATATATATCTATTTGGTTTTACTACCTCTTTTAAGACTTTAAGGCGAAGTTTAGTCAGTTGTTCTTGAACTTCTCTGTCGTCCGCCATCTTTGTTTGGTAGTTTTGGATTGACGTGAAGGCCTGGAAACTACTAGGCTTACAAATAATTTCTTACTTGGGAGGGGTAAGAAAAAAGTTGTTTATGATGTTTTCCTAAAGTAGAATAATATTTCTTCATAGTTTTCATTTAAATATTCAAAATGCTATTATTAATTAATATGTTTGAAAATGAAAAATATATTTTTTCTTTAAAAATCATTTAAATAAATGTCATTGTTAAAAAGTATGGAGATAAGGTACCCCTCCCGTGGTAAAAAAAAGTTGCCATCAGGAACATGCGCGCGGCGAAAGTCAAAAATTATYCAGACTTCTTCCAAAATTCCACCTGAAAAAATATTCAGGATTTTTGAACGTGTACACTGTAAGACATTGGATTATGCTTCATGATAATCTTGAGTTACTAAATTTCAAAAATCGAAATTTTACGAACCTTTTGATTTGGAGTTTATTTTAGAAACGTTTCTCCAAAATGGCGTCCTCTGTTGCTCATTTTGGGTACAGCGAGGAAGATATTCAAGATGTATTTTGCATGGCACCGTACAGAGAAAATCAGATTTCAACGCTGCTGTCATTGTTTGGAAGTATTGGTGATCTTTCTTGTCCAAGTATCTTCGTGTATGGAAATACGGCTACAGGGAAATCGTTTGTTGTGAAAATGCTGATGAACACTTTGAAGGTAAAGCTAGTTAACATTACTTAATCATAGCTTCTGTCTGAGACTTAAAGAAATCTCTAATTACTCATTTACCCTATTACCAGGTTTAACTAACAGTACTTTTCATACCCTGGACACCCGGCCCTTTCGAAATCCCACCCCTATTATGGTGGTAGGGGAAGGATGGGGGGGAGTGGTTGAATTATCTCTCAAACTATACAACATACTATTGGTGAATAAATGTTCTCTTGAATTGATTTCTTTTCTCAACAGCTTCCTCATGTAATGGTAAACTGTGTGGAGAATTTCACCTCTAAACTAATGTACGAACACATCTTAAACAGCTTTAAACAAGAAGATGACGAAGAAGAAATTTCTTTGACAAAACGGTGTGATAACATGGTAGATTTCCTGCGTCTGTTAAAACAGAACATAACTGAACAAAACCTACAGGATCAAACATTCTACATTATACTGGACAAAGCAGAAAGACTACGGGAAATGGAAATAAACATCTTGCCAGCATTTCTAAGACTCCAAGAACTTACTGAGATGAATATATGTGTTATTCTGTTGTCAGAAATAATTTGGGAGAAGTTCTTTTCTGGGACTGGATTCAATGATCCTGTGTTGATACATTTTACAGATTACTCCAAAGCCGAGTTACAGCAGATAATGTGTTTAGATTGTCCTAGTGATTATCCAGTAGACCTCTTCAGTGCATTCAGTCAGCTTCTGTTGAGTGTGTTCTATACTGTTTGCCGGGATCTAAATGAACTACGCCATTTGGTAATTATTAGTACCGTAAACCTCTGAAAATAAGCCCTGGGTTTTTATTTCTTTATTTGCTAAAGTACCTCTTTGATCTTTGAACAATAGAATCACATGACAAGGGGCTTATTTTCAAAGGGGCTTAATTTATGAGTTTATGGTATAACAGCATAAAGTCGAGGCTGTAACAAACCTTACACCTCAGGAAACACAAAAGCACTTGCAACAAGTGATCACGAAAAAATGAATATTTAATTCTATAGAAATTACTCAGGGAAGGTTGGGGGATTCACAAGGTAAACTTTAAAAAATGGTTGTAGCCTACCCCCTTTCACTAAGTAAGACATACATGACCTTCTTATTAAGTCAACAAGGAAATAGCTTTTGTAAAAATAAATTGAAAGGTTGAAACCTCTAGAAAAGTTAACATTTTCACTGACGACCCCTCTCTGAAGCCCCAGCCAAAAAAAAAACCTTTCCTTATTGTTACTTTTCTGTTTCTTTTCCTATGGGCCCTATGGCCCTGGAAGTTAAGATGGGAAACTATAAGGACATTTCTTCTTCCATAGGCTGCCCTCCATTTCCCCAAGTACTGTGAGCCCATCACCAAGGGGGAGGCTACCTACTCAGACAGTCATAAACTATGGCGTCACATTGGTCCACACCTGAAGCGAGCGCTCAATACTGTCTACTTGAGAGAGGTATCCAGCAAGCAGTGGGAAAACATGTTGACTCAAGAGTCAAATGAAGAACACTTGAATGGATCTGCTCCAGCTGCTGGTAAGATATATGGTGAACTATTCTGCCTCGTTGTTTCGGGGGATATCAGAAAATACATGCTAGTATCTTTGATATAAACCTAAGTTCTCTCTCTCTCTGATCTTGATTTTTTTAAATTCAGTCTTATAAAGGATGGGTAAATAAATTGAATATTTGACCCTTATATAGGTAATCCACAGAGGTCGCACATAGAACTCCCGTTTTACTCCAAGTACCTGCTATTGGCTGCATACATGGCATCTTACAACCCTGCCCATACAGACAAGCGATTTTTCTCTAAACAAGCCCAAAGGATGTCAAACAGATGCAAAGCAGCAGCAAAAAAAGCCAACAAGGGAAAGATAAGCAGTCAGCTAACAGGTTTGTCAGCGCCCCATGTTTCACTGTGTTATTCCCACTCTTGTGTATCTGTTTTACAGGTAGTTCTTTGGTGTGGAGAATTTAGTCTCTTCAGTTAGTCTTTAAGACATTGCAAGAGATGAAATAACCTAGTTGCTGTATCACAGTTGTTCCTATAGTCATGTGTCTTCTCAGGTCTTCTCTTGAAAATGGGTAAACGATTGCACAAAAACAAATTATTATGTTTTTGATTAAATCACACCATAGAGATTAAGAGAATAGTCCCTTTCACAGTTCCCTGCACCATTTTGAAAGATGGTTCAGGGAACTGTGAAGGTGACTATTGTGGAATAGCATAGGCTAAATAACCAACTAAGCAATTTTATCATCTAACAATGAATGTTGTGTGGTTTTCCTAGGTCCAAAGGCATTTCCATTAGACAGATTAATGGCTATATTCTATACCATAGTGGAAGACAAAGTAGCACCATCAGCTAGTATACTGTCCCAAATCTCCTCACTTGTGTCCCTAAATCTCCTGTCACAAGTCTCGGCAGATGACCAGATCGATTCTGCTAAGTACAAATGCCTGGTTAGTTTTGACTTTATCAAAGGGATAGCAAGGCAGCTGGAATTTGATATCATACAATACTTATTTGATTTTGTATAAATTGAAATTAAGATTTTTTCAGAATAAAAAACGCTTTGGCTTATTCTTTGTTTTTGTTGTTATTTACATTTTTTTCCATTCTTTTTCCTTCTTCCAAGCCTTTGATTTGTTGAGAAGGTTTTGGGTATGAGAATAATTAATGTATCTTCTTAAGCATGTACAAAAAAAAACTAAAAATCTGAAGCAGAAAAAAGCATTATACTCAAGGCAAAAAGGTCTGTTATCAAATGTATGCCAAAACGTAATGAGAAGATTAAATAACAATTCGCGTTACAGGGAATGTTAATTACAAATTTACAAAACTACCCAAAAAATATAAGTTAAAAAACACTAGGGACAAAATAATATGTAGATGCTTGTATGGTGCATTTCTAGCCTCAATGCACCTTACATAAATGACAGCCTAAATACACATGTAAACACTGCATACATCTTGTTACATAACAACATAAGATCAAGGTAGGTTCATTTTTTTCAATTTCACGATCCTACCAGTACAGGTACATTGATTGGGCTGCCTGTGCCGTTTTTGATTTCTTATTAGAAAGCTGAAAAAGGTCTGAGTATGAGAATCAGAGGGTCTTACTTCCGTTATAGTTATTATAATATTCCAAGAAAAGAAGTTCAGTAAGTTACGGTTCATTATGTTCCGTTATTCTCTAATTGTTTCACTAACTATTGTCGTCTCCTTAACCGAAAAGAGACTAGCTGCGGGTGAGTGTCGTACGGACCTGGATTGTAGTAAGCAAAGTAAAGATTCGCCGTACTGTTGCAAGACTTCCTTTCACTCATGGGCACCGCACGCTTGTTTTTCTAGCTGCGTCGGGAAAGCTTGTGATTCGGACAGCGATTGTGGAGGAACAGGTGGTGAATGCTGTAATACAGTCAACGGCAACTGCACTTCAAAGAAAAGTTGCTTGAAGAAGTGTTATTCTAACTCAGATTGTAGGGCACACTCATACTGTTGCAAAGGAGTGTATTTTGAGCCAAGCGTGTGTGCTTCGAGCTGTGTTGGCAAATCGTGTAACATTAACAGTGATTGTGGTGCGCCAAACGAATGCTGTAGTTCAGGTGGCGAATGTATAAAACAAGGTTGTCACGGCATTCCTTTACCTGGTTGGCTTATTGCTTTAATTACTATTATTGCTGTTCTTCTCGTCGTTGGTCTCGTGATCATCATCTATTTTTGGCGCTACTCGCGCTCGATTAGAAACCCGGAGTACTTAATCGAGGGCGATCGATCGTCGAAAACAAATAAATAAATCGACCAAAATCGATTAAAATTAGTCTATCCATTTTGTATAATCGCAACATAATAGCTACAGGGGCGGATCCAGGGGGGGGGGTGGTCTAAAAGGGGTGATTAGTCACCTCCGTTTTGCTCAAATTTTACACAATATCGTTAGTATATAAACAGTCAATCCCCTTTTCCTAAAATTCCTGGTATGAGATATCTTCGCAAAAGTCACCCCCCTTTTAAAAATTTCTGGATCCGCCCCTAAGCTGGTTGACCATTAGTTAATCATAGTACATAGTGACATATGACCGTGAAAGAATAGGCAAACTAATAGTAGTAGACTCTAAACCAATGATTTTCTTTTGTTCTTTATCAACTATTACAAACTAAATGGTCTATTTTCTTTCACGGTCATATGAAAATCACTCTATTGGAATGTTAAAATTAGTACTTTTAGTTTATGTGTAACCATTTTACCAATAATGTATCTGTGATATACTATAGTGTAAAATGGATATATCGGTACCAATGTTTTACCAGTGATTCACCACTTCAACATGCAAACTTGGTAGCTGTGATCTCACCCTGCATGCAGAAATTTGTCTTTTTGCTGCCGTCAATCAGACAAATCAGTCGTTACCCTTCATATTTTTGACTGGCAGCAGTGCAAAAAAAATTTCAACAGGTAAATTGCAACAACAGAGTTTGCATGTTTATGAAATATATTTTTTACATGTGCATTTGCTTTCAGTTTCAATCTGAGGATCTGAATAACCTTCATATATATAATAGCTTTTCACATTTTCAAAGGATTCAAATACAAAGATTATACAATAGCTAGATCCAGGGGTGTAGGAAGGTCTTGATTACAGTGGGGCATTGTACCATTTTCCCATTAAATCCACAGAAATTCTCCATGAATTTCTTGCCAAAAGCAAACTTTTAGGGGGGAGAAAGTGCCCCCTTCCCCTCCCTACGCTAGCGGCTAGATCATTTTACTCTTTTTTCAGTTTAATTAGGAGGGTATGAAAATAATTAACTTCAACTCGGCAAAGATGGCACAAAAAATTAATACATGAATCAGTATATGATTTTATTTTCATGATGTTCTTTAAGTGTCAAGGAAGGTGAGAGATGCACTTCTTTTCATAGCTTTGTCTTACTTGGTGGGAAATGATAGCAGAGGATCCACTCTCTTCTGGGACGAGTGAGTCCACCTTTTACTTTCTTTCCTGAGATCTAATCTAATCTCATCTAATGCGTTTACCACTCATGGTAGGACAGCTTGGTGCCTAACAGCCCTTGCAACCCAATTGATAAGGCAGCCGGTTAGCAGGGGCACTGAAGATGGTCGTCACCAGCATCGTCAGTGGATCTTTTACGCCCGCCTTATACAGGGTTGAAGACAGATGGGCCTACAATTTTACGTCCTTGTCCGAGAAGATCAAGCCCTTTACTGGATTTTACTGGTATCAAAAGTTAATTTCCCCTCTAATGTGCACAAGGGGGAGGGGGAGACTGGAGTGAATCAAATGACAGATGCATGAAACCTCACTTGCATTTCAGGGAATCAAATCAAATAACTGACTCAAGAAAATCAATTGTTTGAATTGGAATAAGGTTGATTCGAAGGTGTGACACCTTTATGCATGGTGACCAAGATGATATTTAACAATAAGCCTGCAGCCCAAATGGTCATGAGTCAAAAGGCCTAACAAGCTATTTTGTTTCAGACCATGAGGGTGAGGTGTAATTGCTTTAGTATAAACAACAGGCAGCTCAATCTCTTGTTCTGTGGTGTTGTGGTATTCGAATGTTAATGGTAATATTTCGTAGCATGTAACAATATTACTTTTAAGAATAAAAATGACTTTCCTTGATTGCTTGTGGTATCTTTTGATGTTTTGCKGATTTTGAAGCCAGTTTGGTGAATTTTTTATAAGATATCATGTTTTTGTCCCCCTACTGAAGAAAAAACACTCACGGCAACACCAACCTCCAATCGAACCTCAATAAATCCAAGAAAGATAAAGCTACAGCCACGATTTCACTGCAGAATCAAACAACACATACCAATGCTGCTCTCCAGTATGCTCAAACCCATTGTCTAACCTTCCCATTTATTTTGGAAGGGGGTTTAAAATAACTCAAATTCTCCCGAAATACGTCTCAAACATTGTCAATGTACAAACAAGCACGCTATGGAAGAAAGGTAAATTTTATTGAAATATTTCCATTGAATCACGGTGTTTAAAAAATCTCCATACATTGTTATGTGACACACATGCCTTTGGCTACCTGTGTTAATTAAGCGTAAATAAATACTGCTAATAATAATTTTGTAAAATGCGGTAATTTAATGGCATTTTTTTTTTTTTTTTGTCCTATGTTGACATTTAACAATAGCCTCTACCTTATTTACTGTAGAAGCAAATAATAATAATGTATTAGATAAGATAAACTGTATTACTAGTAGGATGCAAATCCTTACCTGTTCAGCCATTTTGTCTTTCGATTGATTCAGCGTGGATAAAATTCCGCTGACCAAAACACAGGAAGCCCAAGCAATGTTCTTGTCTGGTCAGTCAATCTAGCTGTATTAGATACAAATATAAGGTTTGTTTTACAATAAGTCTTGACAAAACTTTGTTATGTTGTTTAATGTAATTTAGTTAGTGACTGTATGAAGTTTGCGCTCGATCCGAAGCTTATTCGCCGAGATTTTTTARCATTTCTTTCTCCCTATTAATACAAGAACATTGCTTGGGCTGCCTGCGTGTATCAAACGTGATTGTCACTTCAAAGTTTTAGGAACATTCAAAGGTTCATACTTTCCTCGCTTTATAAGTGTACTCAATAAATTCTAAGTTGGAGCACCTCGTTTCAGATCATCTCACTTCATTAACAGATTTGATTTGACCTATGTACCGCGCCAGGCCATAATCACATGACTGGACTGTTGCACAATGATAACACCTTCAGATATCTTCCTGGTCGTTCACGGTAATAATAATTCTCTTCTAAGATGCCTATAACTTTACTATGGGAGTATCTCTCCCTTGAACTTCTCTTGGTCTTGACCATTATCCTAGCGTCACTTCTGACAATACTTTTTGTCATCTTCGTTGGATATATTCATTATCAACACTGTCTTTACAAGCACATCCCTGGACCTCCACGAGACAGCTTCWTCTCTGGTAACGTTCCTACCATTCAGAAAGAAGTTGTCGAGAATAAGAAAGGTGTATGCGAGGTTTGGTTTGACTGGCATTTACAGTACGGCTCGGTCTTTGTATTTTGGGTTTATCATACGGCCATCGTTATTGTTACAGACCCTGAATTGGTCAAGAAATTACTTGTTACACTCAACCTTCCTAAGGCACCTCGTGTTTATAACTTGATATCATATTGCTATGGAGAACGATTAGCAGGTCAAGGGATTCTCACCGAAATAAACCACGAAGTCTGGAAACGAAAAAGAGCGATGCTTAATCAAGCTTTCCATAGGACTTACCTGATGAACTTGATGAACGCTTTCAATGAAAGTTGTGATGTGTTTTTGAGAAAGATTGAGAAGCTCGCAGATGGCAAGACCAAAGTCAGGATGACCGATGAGTTTGCAAGGGTTACTCTGGATGTGATTGGAAAGGTAAGCAAATGGTGGATCTAGTAGGAGGTACCCTGCCTGCAGGTCTTTTTCTGCACTCAAGCGTTTCGGCTTTGGGTATTAAAGTGGGGGCATGCGCAGCTAACCAGCCTGGCAATCAGCCCTATGGAAGGGAAGAAGAATGACCTCTGTTTGCGCAGGGTATGCAGAAGAATCCACAGGCAGGGTAGTTATGAGTTTTTAAAAGCCCCAACCTCCCACCCCACCACCACCACCTTCTGTGAGGGATCTTCTATTGCTTTACTTAGCTTGCATAATGCATAACCAAAGGTAACATTATGGCTGCACACATGCTATCTCTTACTTTTAAGTCGTAATCTGATACTATTACTGTAATTTTGCCAAGACTGCCTTGCTGGATCTTCTAGAACTTCATCCATAGGTAATTTGAGTGTGTTACCCAAAGGAGATCTCACAACTGGAAAAACAATCATGACATTTAGTGGGACTCCTGATGATGTTTCATTTATTTAAGATTTATTCTTTTTCTAGGTTGGGTTTGACATCAATACCAACTCTATACAAGATCCAGACAGCCCATTTCCAACAGCTGTGGCTCAATGTCTTGAAGGAGTTCAAAGTGCAATGAGAAATCCTTTCTGGATGGTAAAGTTTTGGACATTTCCATACCAAGAGAGGATAAAGAAGTCTATCCGTTACCTCCGTCAGTTTGCTGAGGGGGTAATCAGCAAAAGGTTGGAAGCTTTAATGCATGAACGAGACCAGCGTAATGATGTACTAGCACACATTCTGGCCATGGCTGAGAAAAACTCTGATTACTCTATGGATAAATTAGTAGATGACTTTGGGACATTCTTCATTGCTGGGCAGGAGACGACATCCAATCAGCTGTCATTTACACTGTTTGAAATTCTAACACACCCAAATATGGAAAATAGGTAAAATTTCTAATAAATGAGATTATCATGTTGATTGCAGCTGGAGAACAAATCGTTTGCTTTCGGAGATAAAAAATGTTGGTGTTACGTTTTTTGGAGACCTTATTTTTTATGTTATTAACCAAGTAATAAACTTCAGTGTTTTACTTAGGTAACAGTGCTGCTTACTGACCTTACTCATATATATTCCATATTGTAGGATCTTCGAAGAACTTGATGAAGTGCTTGATTCAAGGCACTTTGTGGAGTACGAAGACCTGGGTAAGCTACAGTACCTTGGTATGACCCTTAAGGAGAGTCTCCGCATGCACCCACCAATCACGGGTACACAGCGTATTCTTCTACAGCAAGAATCACTGGGTGGTTATACCATACCTGCAAATACACCTATTAATATATCCTATTACATCACCCACAAAAGCCCAAAATTCTGGGAAAACCCTGAAGTCTTTGACCCTGAGAGATTCTCGGCTGAAAAGAGGGGCAGTCAATCAAGTTGTCAGTTTCTACCTTTTTCCGCTGGGCCGCGCACATGTATTGGCAAGACCCTTGCAGAATTTGAAGCAAAGGTCATTATGGCTCGTTTGTTGCAAGAATTCAAGCTAGAGCTTGTTGCTGATCAGAGTCTGTCAATTATAGAACAACTTACCATTAAACCAAGAGAAGGAGTGGTCTGTACTATAACAAAAAGATAAAGATGCCATCATGTGATGGTGCAAAGCCTCTATTCTCAATGGAATAACACAAGTCTGAAATGGGTAAACATTATGCCCAAGGTAAAAAGGGCTACATGCTTTTCAGAAAGCACAATTTTTTACTGAAGTTTATGGAAAATGTTTTTCAATGTACATTTTCAAAATTGTGAAAAACTTACATAGGTTACTGAAAGGGTTGTCTTCTAGCTTGCGTCATGGTTTGGCTAAGAATTTGAAAATGTGTTATGTTTGAAAATGAATGATGTGATGTCATCCCTGCAATTTCAGACCATGTGTTATTCCCTTGGGAAGATTTGAGTCACATCCATATTTAGTGCATCTTCTCAAAAACTATTGTCTAACAGAGATAGATAGATATAATAATTACTATAAAATATTATAGAATGTTATCCTGAAAAGTCTTCCTCAAATGACAAGGTTTATTTTTTCAAATTTTATTTAYTAGAATTTATATTCACTAGGATGTATTTAATTATTCAATTGTTATTTTCATACCCTTCTAATGCTTCACTATTACCAAAGTGTTGCTTTGATTAACAAATTATTCGCAGAAGGCGAAGTGAATATCAGTGAGTCTTCAAGCAGCAAGGTAAATATTCTCCGATATTCACTGAGCCAAGGCAAATAATTGTTTTAGTATAAATACACAGGTGATTCTTTCAAAAAAAAGAAGACAAAAGACATTTTTTTCCCGGTAACAGCGACAAAGCGGCTGAACTTCATTTTGGATTATCGCTGGAGGTGATTATCGTGTGATAGTGTAAGTTTCTTGACCAAAATCAGCACGTGAGATTTTCAATAATCCCCTGTGTATTTATACTAAAAGGGCATAATCCATGTGCCTATTTTGCCTGAGATTATTTATTTATAAAATCTACCATTAAGTCAACAATAGTATTTGCAAGATGTCTTTCATATTTGAAAGGGTCATGCACTCTTGAAACTGATAAACAACACTACATAATTTCATATCTCTGGAAGTAGAATACTTACTGGCTGACCAGTGAATGTGGCGTGCACAGGAGTGGACAAAATAACCATTGCTAAGCATTTTTGGAGCTTAAAAGAAGCCAGGAACTAGTCAAAAGAAAACAAGCAGTATGCAAAAGTTGGGTTACAGTAATGGGAATGAGAGTTGGCCACAAAACAGCTAAAAACATTGTGATTGGCTGAAACAAATTCACTGCTCAGCTGGTACTGTTGCTGCAAAACCTAAATACATAGCTTATTCTTTCATTTTAATCTTTATAAATCTAATTCAAAGCAAAAAGATGCAAACATTGACTAGAAAATTCTCTCTGGAAAACACATTCCTAATCTTTCATACTTTAGGTCAACTAGCCTCATTTTCATTCTTGTCACCACCAGTCTGCCATGCACTCTTTTAGAGATATGAATACAGTATGTACTTAATAGCTAAATAGTGTGAAATTATGGCAATCGGTTTTCATGCCACAAGACTTGATTGTATATGCAAAAGTTAGAAATTATGATAAATTAAGATTATATTATAGATTTTAAAATAAATATTGTGCAAGACATTGAAATTAGCAAATAAAATTACTTTGATTACTGCAATTTTCATAAACATGCGAACTGTGTCTCTGAGATGCATGCTGAAATTTTGTTTTTCGCTGCTGCCAATCAAAAATATGAAAGGTACCAACTGATTAGGTTTGATTAATGGCAGCGAGAAAACAAATTTCAGCATGCAACTTGGTGACACAGTTTGCATGTTTAAGAAAATTAAAGTAAAACGTTGATATTTTCTTCCTTCCTTCTCTTAACTTTGCACCACACCCCATTCTTTGGCCTCATAGTTAATGTTTCTTCATACTCCATTTTTCGATCAGGTGAAGACAGCATCACCTCAAACTTTTGGTAAAGTCTGGCCATGATGACCTTAGATTCAAACTGTGCCAGTGTTTTACCAATACAGGTCCTTGGACCGATAGAGAAAGGAAAGTAAGTTTCACCAGGAATGTTAGTCTCGGATGGTGAAAACCGATCAGGATCAAAGTGATCTGGATTTTCCCAGACATCGCCAGATCTTTGGATGATGTATTCACTTATGACCACTCCTGTCCCTGCAGGAATCTTGTATCCACCTAGTTCTATGTCGTTGTGCGTAAAGCGTGACAGTCCAGGGATAGGTGGGTGGAGGCGCAGGCTTTCTTTGAGTGTTTGTCCGATATATTGGAGTTTCCCCAAATCTTCATAGTCCACAAAATGTTGTTTACCTAGCACTTGATGAACTTCATCAACAATCCTAGCAGGTAAAAGTAATTACATCTACATCAAAATTTGGAAATGGCAGGCTGACTGCATGCATTTCAGAAAGGTTGATGTGGTTGAGTTTGAAAAAAAAGAACTGTCTGAAAGTAGAAAGTAATTTATTTGGTGGTGCTGCATCTGAAAAAATAAAAGCTTGAGTCCCATGAACTGGCTTCCTGGTTTGACCTCGGCAGATACCATGTTTGTTTGATATATTCTTTTTTTCCTTGCCACAAGGATTTTCTGTAGGTGCCCTGGCATATATTGCTTTCTCCTTAACAATCTTACTTTGAACAGTGTTGTGTATAGAAGAGTAACAGGGTGTACTAATAACACGTGTGTGGGGGTGTGGCGTAAAAGGAGGCCATGATTATGATGATGACCATGATGATGATGATGAAAATGACCATGGTAATGATGATAACAATGATCATGGTGATGATGATGAAAATGATGCAGCGTTACTAAACTTAAATGTCAATGGTAATTGTGATGAAGATGATAATGACAATGTTGATGATGATGCTGACAACATGATAACATAACTATTATTCTGCAAATTTAATGAACATATTTATGCAATTAATGTGTAATATGCATTCAAAGAGAAAAATGAAATAATGTACCTTTTTTCAATTTCTTTTTTCTTTCCCACTTCATAAACAGTGAAAGCTAACTGGTTTGATGTAGTTTCTTGACCTGTAAAAATGAACATAAAGAAATAAATGCCTGATTGGAACTTTAAACAAGTACAACTTCCAGACGTCTGTGCTGCTAGTCAATGCAGGGTACTGCAAGGCAATGCAAGGTACTGCTAGTCAATGCAGGGTACTGCAAGGCAATGCAAGGTACTGCTAGTCAATGCAGGGTACTGCAAGGCAATGCAAGGTACTGCTAGTCAATGCAGGGTACTGCAAGGCAATGCAAGGTACTGGTAGTCAATGCAGGGTGCTGCAAAGTGATGCAAGGTGCTTCTAGTCAATGCAGGGTGCTGCAAAGTAATGTACGGTGCTGCTAGTCAATGCAGGGTGCTGCAAAGTAATGCGAGGTGCTGCTAGTTAAGGCAGGGAGCTGCAAGGCAATACAAGGTGCTGCTAGTCAATGCAGGGTGCTGCAAGGTGCTGCAAGGTGCTTCTAGTCAATCCAGGGTACTGCAAAGCAATGCAAGGTGCTGCTAGTCAATGCAGGATGCTGCAAAGTAATGCAAGGTGCTGCAACGAATGCCAGATATTGCAAGGTACTCGAAAATGTAGAATACCAATACAAGCTGTTGCAAGGTAACTCAAAATGCAGTATGCCAATGCCAGCATAATGTAATGTACTAAAAATATATGCATACTACTTCAAGTCAAACAACTTTAACACAAATATCTTCCAAGTATTCTTATAATATGAGCACAAATACCTGCGATAAAAAAGGTGATAAAATCATCGATCAGTTCTTCCATTGTAACACCAGCATTACTTTTGATCATCAATACTATGTGTTGCAAAATATCATTTGGTGTATTCTTCCCCTCCTGGATGTCTTTGATCCTTTGTTCAATAACCTTTCTGCTGTAATCTCTGAGGAACCTTGCAGCCTTGATGGCCTTCCATTGGAAGGGATACATGAATATGTTGAATCTCCAGAATCTGTCCTTAAAAGACTCTTGCATACCTTTGAGCACCAAATAGTTGGCCAGTAGAAATGGACAGTTTTTATCTTGGACTGCATTTAAATCAATATTAAATGCTACCTAAAGCAGAAAATATGCAATCAGAAAAAACTATAGGAAAACACATTTTGACTAAACTTTTCACTGCACACTTTGATTGGTTGAGAACTGTGCTATATTAGTGAATGGAGCACGGTGATAAACATGCAGACTGCATTTTTGATAGCCTGTGTAGGTAGATGACTTGGGTCACTAACCCCCTCATCCCCCCCCACAGCTGCACCCCCGCCCACATCTTTGACAGTCCATATGATTTTTTTGGCACTCACATGAAAATTGCTCTAAATATTATTTACCTTGCCAATCACATCTAAAGTTACTCTTGAAAACTCCTCAGCAAGGTCCACCTCACAATCATCATCTGCAAACTTCCCTATTCTTTCGATGAATTGATCACACACAGAATTAAAGGCAGGCATCAAATTCATCAGGTATTTGCGATGAAATGCTGGGTTCAGCTTCATTCTTTTGCGCTGCCAGATCTCATGGTCACATTCGGTGAGGATCCCTCGACCAGCTGCTCTCTCTCCGAACACATTGTGAAGGTTCTTGTACGCGTTTTGAGATTTGGGTAAATTGAGAGTTATGAGAGCTTTTTTAGCGACTTCTGGATCAACCGCTGTCATGAAAGGAAGGTGGAAAGCCCAGATAACGAAGACAGAACCATGAGCATGGGACCAGTCTTTAACAATTTCATAAAAAGCCTTCCCTTTACGTCGTTCTCTTCTTATGTGTGGTACATTTCCAAGATAAAAGTTGTCCAACTTTGGGCCAGGAATATGGCYATACTTACGACGAATGTGCAATAAATAGGTAGTAAAGGCCAAAAAAGCTATTAAAACAATACAAAGAACAGAGACAAAACCAAATACCAGGATTTCAAGGAGAGACATGATGAGAATGCGGAAGAAACAAGAAAGGGAAAAAAAACAAAAAAGTTACTGTTCTGACGTGCCGTCCACCATTTTGAATTGGAGGCTACACCACAGGGATCCCACAGACTCGATGTGTAACATAACCCTAGCCCCAGTTTCCCTCCAACATTCCAAGACTGTCAATGTCCGTCCGTCCGTCCGTCCGTCCGTCCGTCCGTCCGTCCGTCCGTCCGTTCATTCATTTATTTATGAATATTTATAATTTTGACTTGTTGCTGAAAATCAATAATGTCCTTTGTTGTCACTACTTGTCTATTCCCTGGCTGGATTAACAGCAAGATACCGGCTTTGTTATGTTTTAGGTCAATGACGTAAGAAGAACATCCGATCTCAGTGACCATCAGAAAACCACAAACGTCATTGATCAGTCTCCAACAGGGCTGAAATTGCTTTTCGTAGTGAAGCTCATGAGCAAATAAAGTTTATTTTTCCATTGACAAATAAACAAACGGCTGATCAGTAAGCGCCATGGCTCATTCATCCAATATCTGATGATGGTACTGCCTGCTGGCAAGCTTAAATCAAATACCACTATACTGACACTCAAGCCTAAACTTAATACTGCAAATTTATCTTCACAACATTATGGAACAAACTAAACGGTACGTATATCACTGATTGCGTAAGATTTGATTGCGCTAAAGCCTAGACTCGTACCCAATCGCTTCTCTTCTCTTATCAGGATCTCACGATATGATTGATGGAAGGATTTAATGACTCCACCTTCGCGCCCATTGGAAAAACGCAAGTGATGATTGGTACGAGTCTAGCCCAATAACA